GTAATAGCACTTTTAAAAAACCCAAAAGTTTAGCAGTTGAGAGTTTATGAAGTTGTCAGAGGTTCAGATTGTCCTGTCCTACTATTTTGAAAGCCTTAATTCATACCCTTTTCTTGAGTTGAAAGTCAAAAGATAACTAAAACAAATATTAGTGAGTAAATCTCAGGAGAAATAGCCCAAAGAGTTGATTTGGTTGTCTGTGTGAGCAGGATTTGGGAGCAGAGAGAGATGGGTTAGAGTCTAATGTGTTTTATTTTTACTGTTGTTTTCTTGGTTATAAGAATTTTTTGGGTAGGAGTTGGAGTCTCACTCTATCGCTCAGCCTGGGCAAGTTGGCGAGACCTCATCTCTACAATAACTTTAAAAAAAATTAGCTGGGTATGGTAGCGCACGCCTGTAGTTCTGGCTACCTGGAAGGCTGAGGCGGAAGGATAGCTTGAGCCCAGCAAGTCAGTGCTGGGGTGGCTGCAAGTGTACCACTGCACTCCAGCCTGGGCGAGAGAGTGAGACTCCAACTCAAAAAAAAAAAAAAAAGTTTTAATCGTGTTGAAATACACATAATATAAAAGTTTTCATCTTTGCCATACTTTGTATACTTAAGTATACAGTTCATTGATGTTCAGTACATTCACAGTGCTGTGAAACCATCGTTAATGTTGATCTGCAGAATTCTTTTCACGTAAAACTAAAATTCTGTATTTTTTTTTGAGTTGTAGTCTCACTCTGTCATCCAGGCTGGAGTGCAGTGGCATGCTCACAGCCACTGCAGCCTCCTGCTGGGCTCCGGTGATCCTTTTGCCTCAACCTTCCAAGTAGCTGGTACTACACCAAGAAGCGCACTATCATGCCCGGCTTATTTTTTGATTTATTGTAGAGATGAGGTCTCACTAAGTTGTCCAGGCTGGTCTCGAACCCCTGGTCTCAGGCAATCCTTTTGCCTCAGCCTCTCAAAGTGCTGGGATTACAGGCTTGAGCCACTGCACCCGGCAATTTCTGTACCCTTGAAAGCGTAAATCTCTATTTCCCCTACCCCCATTTCCTGGCAACTACTAGTCTTTCTGTGTCTGTAAATTTGACTATTCTAAGTACTTTAAGTGGGATCATACTGTATTGATTTTTTTGTGACTGGCTTATTTCACTTAGCTTAACGTCCTCAAGGTTCATCCATGTTATAGCATGTATCAGAATTTTCTTCTTTTTTTAAGGCTGAATAATATTCCACTGCACATAGATACTACATTTTGTTTATCTATTAAGTCATTAATAGGTGCTTAGGCTGCTTTTTCCTTTCGGCTATGTTAATAATGCTGCTGTTGGCTGGTCTGATGGTAGTTGCTTATCAGAACTTATTAACAGTGTCATTAAGTTGGGATTAAAAAAAGAAGAACATGGGTATACAAATACCTCTTTGAGGCCTTGCTTTTAATTATTTTGGGCATATATCCAGAAGTGGAATTGCTAGATCATATAGTAATTCTAATTTTTTTTTTAATCAGAGTCTCACTCTGTTGCCCAGATTGTACTGCAGTGGCACACTCATGGCCACCACAGCCTCAGCCTGATGGGCTCAGGTGATCCTTCTACCTCAGCTTTCCAAGTAGCTGGAACCACAGGGGCGTGTCACCACACCCAGCTAATGTTTTGATTTATTGTAGAGATGATGTCTCACCATGTTACCCAGGCTGGTCTTGAACCCTTGAGCTCAGGCAATCCTCTGTCCTCCACCTTGCAAAATGTTGGGATTATAGGCATGAGTCCACTACGCCTGGCCAAATTGTAAGAGTTCTTTCAATATTCTGGATATATCAGTTATATGGTTTGCAGATATAGTCTCCCATTCACGAGTTGCCTCTTTATTGGTTATGACTTTTGATGAATAGAAGTTTTAATTTTCATATAATCTAATTTATCTATTTTTCTTTTGTTGCCCATGCTTTTTGTGTCATATCTAAGAAATCATTGCTAAATCAATTGTTGTAAGGATTTCCTATATTTTTTCTTTTATGAATTTTATAATTTTAGCCCTTTAATTTATATCTTTGTTCCATTTGGAGTTAATTTTTGTGTATGGTGTAAGATAAGGTCCAACTTCAATTTTTTGCATGCAGAGATCCAGTTTTCCCAGTACCATTTTTTGAAAAGACTGTCCTTTCCCTGATTGAATGGTTCTGGCACATTTATTGAAAATCAATTCACCATATATGTAAAGGTTTATTTCGGTGTGCAGTTCTATTCCATTGGTCTATGTATCTGTCCTTATGTCAGTACCACACTGTTTTGATTACTATAGCTTTGTAGTAAATTTTGAAGTCCTCCAGTTTTATTTTTGTTTTATGGACAGGATCTCATTATATCACCCAGGCTGGAATGCAGTGGCACAGTCATAGCTCATTACAGTCTGGAACTCTTGAGTTCAAACGGTCCTTCTACCTCAACTTCAGAGAGTAGCTGGGCCTACAGGCTTGAGCCTCTGGTGCCCTACCAATTTTGTTGGTCAAGATTTTGTCTATTTAAGATCTTTTGTGATTCCATATAAATTTTAGAATGGGTTTTCTATTTCTGTGAAAAACGTCATTGAGATTTTGATAGGGATTTCATTGAATTTGTAGATTACATTGGGTGGTATTGTTAGCTTAACAATATTAAGTGTTCAAGTCTATTAATACAGGAAGTCTTTCTATTGATGTCTTCTTTAATTTAATTTCTTTCAACTATGTTTTATAGTTTTCAGTGTAAAAGTCTTTCACTGAAAGACTTTTATTCCTAAGATTTTTTTTTTTTTGAGGAGGCGTCTCATCCTGTCACCCAGGTAGAGATGAGGTCTTGCCAAGTTACCCAGACTGACCCATGGGCTCAGGCAATCCTCTCACCTTGGCCTCCCAAAGTACTGGGATTATAGGCATGAGCCACTGCGCCCAACCCAGATTTTATTTTATAATGGTTTCATAATCTTGATATGTAACCCTTTGTTTGAAGTATTCCCTTATAATACTCATGCTAAATTGTTTCATTGTGTTTTGTAATTTTAGATTGTATAGTCATATTGATTGGAGCTTTAATTAAGGAAATCCCATGAGACCTGGGTTGAGGGCTTATACTGGTGTATCATCTATCTACCTGAGTGATAGGCACGTGTTTCAGATGTTCAAAGGAAAATTTCTCCCACACCCCTCAAGCTACAGTGTAAACTCCATGAAATCAGGGGTCTTTGTTTTGTTCACTGAAGTCTCTCAATATATCTAAAACAGTGCGTGCCTACGAGGAATCCCACCTATAGTTGTTGAACTGAATTCATTCTCTTACTTTGAAAATGGGTAGATTAATATTTACTAATCTGGCCAGGCTTGGTGGCTCAACCTGTAATCCCAGCACTTTGGGGGAGGCCAAGGTGGGTGGATTGCCTGAGCCCGCGGGTTTGAGACTAGCCCGGGCAACTTGGCAAGACCTTGTCTCCACAGTAAATCAAAAATTAGCCTGGTGTGGCTAATTAGCACGCGTGTTTAGTTCTGGCTACTTGGGTTGGCCGTAAGCGTGCCATTGAACTCCAGCCTGGGCAACGGAGTGGGACTTCAACTCAAAAAAAAAGAAAAGAAAAGAAAAGAAAAAATATTTACTAATCCATTCTTTCATTGAGGCATTAATGAGGGACTATTGTCTACTTTCTATCAGTAATAGTTGTGGCTATCTTTTGAATTATTGACTGTTTGTTCTAGTTCATTCTAGTCTTATGATAAATGAGCATTTGCTTCCTTTTGGCATTATTTTTGTTTGAGTGGCCTCATACTAATTTTGTTTAGCTCCCTGAACCATCTTCAGTTTATTTTTAACTAATCCTCATATTTCTCTTTCGGAAGGTGGAAAGTCATGTATTTTTTTAAATAAAAATCATCAGATTAAACTTTGAAGGATTAAAAAAATAACCTTGTATGGATGATAATGTTTAGCAGTGAGAATTTAGATAACCATCAAACATAAAATAATAGGTGAAAAGTAAAAAAAATAGAAAATTTTGACTGGGTGTGGTGGCTCATACCTGTAATCACAAGCACTTTGGAAGACTGAAGCAGAAGGATCACTTGAGCCCATGAGTTTAAGGCTGCAGTGAATTATGATCACACCACTGCATTCTAGCCTAGGCAACAGAGCAAGATCCTGTCTCAAAAAGTATATAGTGATAATAATAAAAGAGAAAATTTTGTTTTTTCCTACATAAAGGCATATGGTCAATTTTTCTGATTAACGTACTGATCATGGGCAGAAGACAACCCACATATATTCCGGTAAGGAGGGTATAACTAATTTTCTCTTTTTTTTTTTTTGCATAAAAATCTCACTCTGTTGTTCAGGTTGGAGTGCAGTGGCACGCTCATGGCCACTGCAGCCTTGACCTGCTGGGCTCAGGTGATCCTTCCACCTCAGCCTTTCAAGTAACTGGAACCACAGGCTCATGCCACCACACCCAGCTAATTTTTAAAATTTATTTATTGTAGAGACAAGATCTTACCAATTTGCCCAAACTGGTTTCGAACCCCAGGACTCAGGCAATCTTCTCGCCTCAGCCTGTAGGCATGAGCCACTGTGCCTAGCTCATTTATTTTTAATTTTAATGTGGTGCTTATTAAATTATTTAAAAGTGAAAATTGAATACTATTATTTAGCAGGTGTGGGAATTATCTTTAAAGAATATTAAAGAAGAAAATTTCACCACTTTGTATCATAATATCACCAATAAATTCAATAGACTTGTTCATTTGGGATGTACAAATTAAATGGAACATGAATGTGAGCAGAAATAAAGTCACCATGTTGAATACACTGAAGTCATAAAGAGTTTGTTTTATATTTTGTTTTCTATATTATCTTAATATGATCATGTTGAACAACTATTTATGGTTGGTATGGAAGACTGTGAACTGACCCACCACTAAATTTTGAGGGTCTTAGTTCTACTGTCATGTGACGTAAGAATGACTAAATCTTGCTACTTTTTTGTTTTGCAGTTCCGGTTCCTAACAGATTTAATAGACGAGTATCAGGTATGTATGCTTCTTTATAACATACTGCTAAAATGCTACTAAATATTCCCATTAAATAGTAATATTTTAAATAAAAATAAACTCATCTTTTAAATAAAAAGATAAGCTAATGGCATCACAGAACATTATGCTAAAAGTAAAATTGTGGTTTCTGTTTTCATTTTAAGATTTGAGTATATATGTACATTTTGTTTTGTTTTGGAGTCAGAGTCTCACTTTGTTACCCAGGCTGGAGTGCAGAGGCATGCTCATGGCCACTGCAGCCTCAACTTGCTGGGCTCAGATTATCTGTCCGCCTTAACCTTCCAGGTAGTTGGGTCTACAGGCATCTGCTCTACCATGCCTGGCCAGTTTTTTTTATTTATTTTATAGACGGGGTCTCCCCAAGTTGCCTAGGCTGATCTCGAACCCCTGAGCTCAGGCATTCCTCTCGTCTCAGCCTCCCAAAGTGCTGAGATTACAGGCATGAGCCACTGTGCCCAACCTATATGTACATATTTTTGTGTTGCTGTAATTGGTGTGGTTTGTCTCTTTACATTAATGTCATTAATATTTTCCCACATTCATAATTACATCTTCTAAAATAATTTTTTGTATTACTATTTCTGGTATTCTGGATTATGCTGCCATTAACTTTCCTATACACTTTTTTGAGCCATTTGAATTATTGTCTCAGTTTTGGTGCTGGAAGTGGTATTCTCTGGTCAGAGACTGAGCATTATTTTGGCTTTTTCTGTGTCTTGCTTTCTAGAGACAGTCCACAGATTAGGCTGCTGGGAGAAAGGCACCTTGCAGAGGCCCCTTTTCCACCACAAGCTCAATAATATGGACTCTATTTTTTTGTTTGTTTGTTTGTTTGTTTGAGTCAGAGTCTCACTCTGTCACCCAGGCTGGAGTGCAGTGGCATACTCACAGCCACTGCAATCTTGACCTGCTGGACTCAGGTGATTTTTCTGCCTCAGCCTTACAAATAGCTAGAACTACAGGCCATCACCACCACACCTGGCTAACTTTTTTATGTATGTATGTATGTTGGAGTCTCACTCTGTTGCCCAGGCTGGAGTGCAGTGGCACACTCATGGCCACCGCAGCCTAGACCTGCTGGGCTCAGGGGATCCTTATGCCTCAGCCTTCCAATAGCTGAAACTACAGGCGCCTGTTACCATACACAGCTAATTTTTTGTTTTTGATTTATGGTAGAGATGAGGTCTCACCAAGTTGCCCAGGCTGGTCTTAAACCTCTGGACTCAGGTAATTCTCTCACTTCGGCCTCCCAAAGTTCTGAGATTACAGACTTGAGCCACCATGCCTGGTACTTTTTGATTTATTGAAGAGACAGGATCTCGCCAAGTTGCCCAGGATGGTCTCCAGCCCCTAGGTTCAGGCAATCCTCTCTCCTCCGCATCCCAGATTGCTGGAATTATAGGCATGAGCTGTCATGCCTGACCAATAATATGGAATTTGATGTAAAATAGCACCTCAGATCATTTTGTCACTTCTTTGGTTGCTAACAAAAGTGAATGATTTCCAAATATGGGAAATCTATTTGTATTTTCTTTTTCTTTTTATTAAACGTATGTATGTGTGTATTTATATAGAGACAGGATCATGCTGTATTGCCCAGACTGTTCTCGAACTCCTGGGCTCAAGTTGTCCTGTGGCCTCAGCCTCTCCAAGTGCTGGGATTACAAGTGTGAGCTACTGCACCTGACCTCTGTATTTTCTTGTATGGAACTAGTTTGGAAATATTTTGCCCTTTTATCTAGTATGGTCTATATTGATGCACTCTTCCCTTCCCCTTCCATTTTCTCCCTTTCTGCTTCCCTCTCCCCCTTTACCCCTTTCCCCTTCCCTTCCCTTTTCTTTAAAAATACGTTTGTGAAAATTTTCTTTCCAAATATTTGAGCTTTTGAAATTTTTTTTTTTTTTGAGTTGGAGTCTCACTCTGTCGCCCAGACTGGAGTGCAGTGGCCGCTCCCGGCCACCACAGCCTCGACCTGCTGGGCTCCGGCGATCCTTCTGCCTCAGCCTTCCAAGTAGCCGGAATTACAGGCATGCGCTACCACGCGTGGTTGATTTTTTTATTTATTGTAGAGATGAGGTCTCGCTGCCTAGGTGGGTCTCGAACCCACAGGCTCAGGCAGTCCACTCACCTCAGTCTCCCAAAGGCGCAGGGATTACAGGCTGTGCCACCGAGCCCGGCTATTTTTAAATTTTTATTATAGAGATGAAGTCTCGCCAAGTTGCCCAGCCTCTTCTCAAACCTCTGGACTTAGGAAATCCTCTCGCCTCCCAAAGTGCTGAGATTAACAGGCATGAGCCACTGCTCTCAGCGGCTTAAATTTTAATACCTGACTGATAACTCAAATACTGCCTGATATAGCAGGCACTCATATTGAATATATATATTTTCTGCTTTTTTTAAAAAAAATGATTATCCCCCTTTTTTCATAGAGCTGATAAATATATTTTTTGAAAATGTTTCTTTTCTTTTCTTTTTTTTTTTTTTTTGAGTTGGAGTCTCACACTGTCGCCCAGGCTGGAGTGCAGTGGCATACTCAGACAGCTACCCCAGCATCGACCTACTGGACTCCGGCGATCCTTCCACCTCAGCCTTCCAAGTAACCAGAACTATAGGTCGGCGCTACCATGCCTGGCTAATAGTTTTGATTTATTGTAGAGTCGAGGTCTCACCAAGTTGCCCGGGCTGGTCGCGAACCTGCGGGCTCAGGCAAACCACTCGCCTTGGCCTCCCAAATTGTTGGGATTACAGGCTGAGCCACCGAGCCTGACCAAAAAATCAAACATTTTAAGAAAAACTTCCAGGCTGGGCCTGACCAAAAAATCAAACATTTTAAGAAAAACTTTTTGACTGGGTTCGGTGGCTCAGCCTGTAGTCCCAATACTTTGGGAGACCAAGGTGAGTAGATTGCCTGAGCCTGCGGGTTTGAGACCAGCCCAGGCAACTTGGCGAGACCTCGACTCTACAATAAATCAAAACTATTAGCTGGGTGTGATAGTGTGGACCTGTATTTCTGGCTACTTGGAAGGCTGAGGTGGAAGGATCACTGGAGCTCAGCAGGTCGACGCTGGGGTGGCTGTGAGTGTGCCATTGCACTCTAGCCTGGGCGACAGAGTGAGACTCAACTCAAAAAAAATTTTTTTTGTTTAATTTTTTGGTACATCTAGAATTTGTTTGATAATACAGTTGGATATTGATGTGTTTCAAACTTGCTTGGCAAGCAGTAATGTATCACATCATTCTTTCACATTGCCTTGTTTTGGAAAGGTCTCTTGATCTTTTTTTTTTTTTTTTTTTTTTG